TATAATATTTGTAGATATATATATCTATTTGATGTAATTACAAAATTTTAATGTTGATTTTAAATTTAATTTAACGATATTTTATATATTACTGTAATTTATACTCATATTTTTTAATAATATATTAACACATATCGTATTTATTTTATGGATAAAAGTAATTTTATTGAGACATATTATATTATTATAAAATATGTGTCACTGTATAATAATTTTTTATAACAATTTTCTTATAATGTATCGTTAATTCTCAAAGATTTTTTGTCAACGTCCACTTATTGAAGCCCCTCAAACAAGAGATTTTGGACAAACCAACATTGAGATAGGCCTAAACACTGTAAAAAGACAAGCCGTATCCGAGACCTTAATCACAAGGCCATTTCAAATGTATTCAACTTTGTACATACTCAATTCACATATCTACATTACCATATGACTCCTCTCAAATTTGTAAGAAGTATTGGGAAAAACCCAAGTCCCACATCGACTAGAGATTAGGCAATTAAATAGTATATAAGTGGAGAGCAACCCTCACCTTACAAGCCGGTTTTGTAGGGTTGAGTTAGGCTTAATCCACTATTCTAAGATGGTATCAAAGCCATTTAGATCCACTTTAAAAATGGGCCACCCACCATTCATTGATACATGCACCATGGGCATGAGGAGGTGTATTTCAAGTCCCGTCAATTAGAAAAGGGCCACCTACCATTCATTGCTACATGCACCATGGACATGAGGGGGTGTATTCAAGTCCCGCCAATCCTAGATCATTAAAAAGGGCCACCTACCATTTATCCACGTACCAAGCCCAATAGTGCTGGACGTGAGGGGGGTGTATTGGGTTCCCTCTCTCTTATCTCCTATATTCTCTCTTACCTCTCTCTCTTCCCTATTCTTTCTTTCTCTTTTCTTCTTCCCCTCTCTCTCTCTCCATCTCTCTAACTTTTATCTCTTCCTTTTCCCTCTTCTATTTCTTTTTTCTCTCTCACTTCTCTACCTTTCTCTCTATCTCTCCCACTTTATTTTCTCTCTCCTATCTCTCTCATTCTCTCATCTCTTTATGTCTTCCTTCTCTCTTATATCTCTCCTCTCTTTCAATGTTAACATAAAAAATATCAATTATTTTTGAATGAGGATGGATTTGTATACTTTAAGAGTAAGTCTATCTAGATTTACTCTATTCAATAACTCATGTTCTAGGTTAAATTCCAACGCTCCAACGATTGAATTTAAATTTTTTAATGCATAAATCAGGTTTGTAAATTTTTAGAAAATTTGAAAATCATTTGATATCTCATTTCATTGCAAATTTGTGAGATGGGGGAGGTAGCTGCAAAAGAGACTCCGATGCTAAAGTTAGGGTTTGCATGAGTAATAGTCTCATATATATAATGCACGTACCTTAAGGTGATCTAGGTTTGCCTTGGGCTTTTGGGCTTGAGATAAGATATATCATGATATGATATGATATAATTGAAGGGCGGATCTGGTCTGGGACGAGATCCTCGGAATCAGGTATGCTTCGCTCAAATGTCGAGCTGACGTCATGCACCGCGTGCCCGGGGTTACTTATTTGCAACACTAATTCGGGCTAGGAGCCCGGGTGCGAAGTACGGTTAGTACAAGTTATATAATGGACTATGATAATTTTTTAATAGTTAATTTATTATTTTTATAAAAAAAAATAAAATAAAATTTGGTCCATGGGCTAGCCCTAGTCCTAAAGGCTTTATGGGATTCTTTTGAGCCTGATCCACGTGAGCTAGGGCTATGGAGGGTGGACTGAGTTTATTTGATAGGTCTACCACATAGTGTTACAAAGTTGATAGCTAATAACTAATCTATATTTTTGAAATATAGCTTCTACAAACTAAATATTATTTTAACATAATGAAAATTGAACTTAAAGAGCACTAGATTGATGCCCATGTTGCAAAATAGATCTTACAATTACTTAGGGGGTGTATTGGTTTAGGATTTCGTAGGATTTTAAAAGACTTTTTTTGAGTAAAAAAGTTCATTGGTATTCAATTAAGATTTTATATCACTTAAAAATAATCCAGTAGTATTCAATCTGAATTTTCAAGATTTTTAAAAGAGTCCATTAAAATCCATTAGTATTCATTTGAGACTTTTTACAACTTAAAAACAATTCATTAGTATTAAAAAATATAAGGATTTTAAAGGATTGTTGTGTTAGAGGGATTTTGAAGGACTTTCTAGTGTTATCTATAAATACTAAATTCATAAAACAATCCCATCTAAACCCATCGGATTTTGAAGGATTGTTTGAAATGACTTTTCAAGTGCTCCAAGATTTTTCAAGTGAGTTTTTCATTTTTTTTTCTATGCTCCTATCTTATCCATTTTTTCTCTGCTAATAATATTGCACTACTGTCCATTGCTCATATATAATATTGTAGTATTGTTCACATTCCATTCTCTTATTTTGTGAAACTCCGATATGTAAATGATAGTGTCATTGACTTGCTCTATTTTTCTGTTTGTTATCTTTAATTGACTTGCTCTATTTTATTCTATTTAGTTGAATTTGTTCCTTTATATAACACAAAAACGTTTGAAATTTCAACTTTTAAGTGGTAATTTTTTTTATAACACACGTCAAGAAAAGGGAAAGGTGAAAGATAAAATTGATATCATGATCTCTATAATATATATATATATATATATATATATAAGATGAATTTGAGTTAGGGTTTTTGTGAGTAGAATGATATGAAAATGGATCTTAGTTGGGGGAAAAACCCTCTCAACATAAAAACTACGATATCTCTCCTTCCCTTGAGTTTGTTACTCTTATCCCTCCTCCTTTTATGACTTAACAGTTATTTTATTTTATTTACTATGAATTTTTTATTTTATTTTTATATTGTGAAATTAGAATTTTTTTATATTTTAAAAAAAGAAAAAAAATCATAAGATATTGCAGTATCTAATTTTTTAGGGTTTAGGGTTTATGCCTCCATTAACTTATTTTTTAAAAAAAGGAAATATCGTTAAAATATTTGTTAGAATAATTTATATTTATAAATATCGTTAAAAAATTATCACACAATATATAACTAAGATATCATCTACAAGATTTTACAGGTTAGGGTAATGACCTTGAAAATGAGAAAGAATTGTTCAATCTTCGTCATGCGTCTTTAAAGAATGTGATCGAGAGAATATTTGGTATTTTTAAATCAAGGTTTACAATTTTTAAGTCAGCACCTCCATTTTTATTTAAGACACAAGTAGAACTTGTGTTAGCATGTGCAGCACTACATAACTTTCTACGTAAAGAATGTCGTTATGATGAATTTTTAATTGAAGCGGTGGACGAACCTTCATCTTCAATATTACCGGTTAACGAAGATCATACTTTTGAGCCTATTATTCAAACCAAGGAGCAAGAGCGAAAAAATATTAATGCTTGGAGGACTAGTATAACTATGGATATGTGGGTAAATGCTATTTAAGAGATAAGATATTATGGAGAATTATTATTATTATTTATCTAGATATTTTTATTATTTTTTATTATTTTTGTCTTTGAATCTTTTTAAATTTGAATTATGAAAAAATTTGAAATCTTATCATATGTCAAAAAATCCACGAAAATTCTACAAAATCTCATAGAATCCATTAAAATCTTGATTTAAAAGTCTTACAAAATCTATTAAAATTCTAATTTTAAGTCTTGTAGAATCTTGCAAAATCTTAAAAGTCATGAAAATCTTGCAAAGTCTTTTAAAATCCGCAGGATTTTTTTTAACTAAAAAAGTCATTTAAAATCCTAATCCAATACACCCCCCTTAGTTAAGAGACTTGATGTAGTTGTATTTTAAAATGCTTCGAGCACAGCTCCTCCTCCTATATTTCGTTTCTCTCTCTATCAAATATATCATTAGGCAATACTCTAACATAATGTTACAACACTATAAACTCATCTTCAAGCTTCTAACTCGATGTGTTAATATTTAATTAAGAGTCTCAAGTCGTTTCTACTTATAGTAGTGGTTACTAAAATCAAGAATATTCTTTTTCTTGAATATTTTTAATGTGAAAATATATTTTGAATATCTAATAAATAATTTGAGTTGTGATATAATTTAAAAATTTAATCTATAGTACAAGAATGAATTTAATTGTTATTAAATCTTTTAAATAACGTAAATTGGATACAAAATTCATGAGTTTATAGTACATGATAGTATGGTACCAAAACATATCAACTCTTATATATTAAATATAAACCTCTTTCTTATGTCAGTATTTTTAAAAGTTTTTCTTTAATGAAAATTTTTAAAAAATTCTTTTAACTTCTTATCTAATTTAATTTTAATTTATTATAATTATTTATAAATTAAATTTTAATATTTTTAACATAAATTATCAATAAATAAAAATAATATTTTATTACAATATAAATTATTTATCATAAATAAAAATACAACTCATATATTTAAAAATATTCATTTTATATAAATTTTAAATATAATATTTATTTTTATATATAATTTATTATAAATTTTAAATATATATAATAAATATTAAACTTCTACATTACACGTAAAAAAAATACTAATTATTAAATATGTTAAACAAGGTAAAAATGTAAAATGGATAAAAATAAAAATAAAAATCACGTGTTATATAGTACATGATACCAAAGCATATCCCATTGTATCGTACCTAGGCCGTTAGGCGTAGATCCACTAGAAAGACAATTGCTGCGCACGTGGGCAACTAGTGGTGAATCTCGTCCGTTGAAAAACATAGGAAACACCAAACAAACAAACAAACATCCATCGTAGCCGTGTGATGTGAAACTCAAATCCATTCCAGTGGTGTACGGACAAATTACACAAACACACTATTTCAATCCAAATCCATTGTACGGACAAATTCACATTTTTTGCCTAAAATATCTCGTACCAAATTTTAAGGAACCAATTTCTACGATTACGGTAACAACCAAGAACCAACGCACCTCTTCTCTCTCTTTTGACATCATGCTCTTTTCTGATATGCATATGCAACACTTCCTCCCTCTTCCTTTTCTCTATATACTCCATGCCTCTTCCATCTTTGGATATTTATGTTGCATATACATATGATATAAGGTCTTTGAATGTTACCTTAAACCTTACAAAATTATATTATAACATTCTTTCTCGTACCAGTGAAATTTGTAAAACTTGACATACTTATAATATCAGATAATCTGATAAGTTCAACAATGATTAATACAATATTTTGAAATTAATTTAGAAAAAAAAATCAGTGTTACAAATGATGCACTTGAGAAGTGGGTTTTGGGATTCAAACGATGTTAGCAACAGCAGTGCAAGTGGGTCAGAGGTAACGCCGCTGAGGCTTCTGTCCCAGAATCTGAGTTCCCTACTAGAGGTCAGTGCCGGGGGGGTTGACTTTTTCTCCGACGGGAGGATCGCAGTCGCGGACGGCAGGGAAGTGGCCGTGCACCGCTGCATTCTGGCGGCGAGGAGCTGCTTCTTCAAGGAGGCGTTTGCGGCTGGCGGCGTGCTCCGGTTGAAGGACGTGGCCAAGGACTACGATGTGGGGCTAGAAGCGCTTTTCACGGTTCTTGTTTATTTGTACAGTGGGAGGGTGAAGCCTTTGCCCCAAGGCCGTGTTTGTGAGTGTGTGGATGATGCGTGTTTGCATTTTGGGTGTAGGCCTGCTGTGGATTTCTTGCTTCAGCTTCTTTATGCTTCCTCAACTTTTCAATTATCCCACTTGGTTACTCTTTATCAGGTACACAATAACTCTTTCTTCATGTATGAAGTGAGGGAGGTCTATGTATAATTCAATTTTATAGGCTTCAAGGATTGTTGGGTTTATATTACTTGCAGGGGCATCTACTAGACATTCTTGATAAGGTACAAATAGATGACATTTTGGTGGTTCTATCCGTGGCAAACATATGTGGCAAAATGTGTGATAAATTGCTAGCAAGGTGTACTGAGATGATAGTTAAATCTGATGTTGATATCACCACTCTTGAAAAGTCGCTGCCTCAACTTGTGGTGAAACAAATCATGGATACACGAAGAGAATTGGGCTTGTTCATGCCTCAAAACTTCAATTTTTCTGATAAACATGTTAACAGAATACACAGAGCACTTGATTCGGACGATGTGGAGTTAGTAAGGTTGCTTTTGAAAGAGGGGCACACCACTCTTGATGATGCCTATGCACTTCACTATGCTGTTGCATACTGTGATGTGAAGACCACCACTGAGCTTCTTGATCTTGGTCTTGCTGATGTCAACCACAAAAACCATAGGGGCTATAGTGTGTTGCACGTTGCTGCAATGAGGAAAGAGCCCAAGATTATAGTTTCTCTCTTGACAAAGGGAGCACAACCTTCTGATCTTACTCTGGATGGAAGAAAGGCCCTTCAGATTTCAAAGCGTCTCGCAAAAGCTGTGGATTATTATAAGTCCACAGAGGAAGGAAAGGTATCATGCAATGACAGATTGTGCATAGAGATATTGGAGCAAGCTGAGAGAAGGGAACCTATACTTGGAGAGGCATCACTTTCTCTTGCTATGGCAGGGGATGATTTACGGATGAAATTGTTGTACCTAGAAAATAGAGGTATTTTCTCACATCACATATTCTTGAGTGAGTTTAATAGTCATCATTAGTAAGACTTTTAAAATAGTTACTACAAAAGTTAACAACCTAATCATACGTACATGACAGTTTGTGATTAAATGATAGTATAAATATATTTTACATTATCAATAATTGGATAATGTAAACATCTTTTACTATGCATACATGGTGGTTTGTTATTTTTTCAGTAACACAATTGAGTCAACATCTGGGTGGGTCTTGAATCAAGTAAATTATTAGCAAAATCAGGTACTTCATAATGCTTAAATTTCAGCGACCTGTGTTGGAAACTGATGATTCATTTTTTGTAGTTGGACTGGCTGAAGTTTTGTTTCCCATGGAAGCAAAGGTTATTATGGACATATCTCAAATTGATGGCACATCTGAATTTCCATCGTCAGACATCTACTGTCCAAATATCAACGATCACCATAGGACAACTGTGGACTTAAACGATGCACCTTTCAGAATGAAGGAAGAGCATCTAGTTAGGTTGAGAGCACTGTCTAGAACTGGTAATTGATGTTTCTTCTCTTTTCCTTATTGAACAATGAAAACTTTCCTAGAGGATAAGGCTAAAACTTATTCTTATGAACAATAAAAGAGAGTTTAATTTAATGTATGCCTCTCATGTTTCACTTTCTTAAAAATGTTTCTACATCACTTTTATTGACCTTGCATGATTAGCTATCACTTATATTTGCAAAATATACTTGATGGGATTTTTTCATTTTTGAAATTGACATTGAATACCAGAATGGTACAAATTGATGTTTAGAAATCAATTCATGAAGTGGGTTTGGATGTGATTGGTTTTTGTTTTGCTTTGAGCAGTGGAATTGGGAAAACGCTTCTTCCCTCGTTGCTCAGAAGTGTTGAATAAGATCATGGATGCTGATGACCTATCTCAGCTCACATGTATGGGTGATGATAGTCCTGAAGATCGACTAAGGAAGAGAGGAAGATATGTTGAACTTCAAGAAGTTCTGAATAAGGTCTTCAATGAGGACAAGGAGGAGTTTGATAGGTCTGCCATGTCATCATCATCCTCTTCCACATCAATGGGAGTAGTGAGAGCAAATGGCAATCTACCCATGAAGAACTAGGTGAAAATAATAATGTTTTTAGAGGAGCATCATTTTCTAATGATTTTCCTTAGTCTCAATGATAATTTTTGTTTAGTCATTCTCTTTTTCCTACCTATATTGTATTTTCTGTTTTTCATTGATTAAGGAAACAAATAGGAGATGATATATTATAGCTATTACATTGTGATCATTTATTTCTCTTATTAATTTTATAGCCAAAAAAATATCCTTTACTGGCTGCAAAATTTGGGAAAATGATTTTTGTGGACCCTTTTAAAATTGATGACCGTGGCCTTTTATCGCAGTCTAATTTACTATCTTGTAAAAGTCTAGTTTGCGATATGAATATGACAAATGATCTTAAATAAGACATTAATTACATTTTATAAGCTCATTGTAAAAGTCTACTTTGCATTATGAATAATATAAATTATCTTAAAGATGAGAGATTCCTATATTCTAAGAATAAATTTAATCAAATTTACTTCATTTAATAACTCATATTTTACGTCAAATTTTAATGATCGAATCGTTGAATTTAACGTTCTTAATACATAAATCAAGTCTGTAAATTTTAAAAAAAAATTTAAAATTTATTTAATATTTCATTTTATTAATTCAAATTGATAGTAAATCATAAAATCATTTTATACATTAACTTGAATTAATGAAACAAAGTATTAAATGGTTTTAATTTTTTTTTTAATATTTACAGATTTGATCTATATATTAAGAATTTTAAATTCAACGACTAAATCATTAAAATTTAATATAAAATGTATAATATGAGTTATTAAATGAAGTAAGTTTAAATAGACTTATTTCTTAAATAAATGAAACCTCTCTCAATCTTAAATGATAAGCTTTTATTTATCTTTTTGAATAATAATAAATTATATGAATATGATAAACCCTATAAACAACTTCCTTCTAGAAGTATCTTATTATCACTACACGCGACATGATCAGGAGAAAGTAATACACATGGCAAGTCTTAGAATACAGAATGCAAAGTAAACTTGGCATTGGAGCATGTTGAAGTTCTTCATCGATGGAGACAATAAAATATATGATATAGCAAATTATATCCGATTTTTATGTATTTATACTTTTATTCCAAAAGAAATTAATATATATATATATATATATATATATAACAACACATAAATTTAGAAAAATTAAAGCTAACTATATATAATTTTTTATTCATATTTATCACCCGATTATATAAAAATTGAAAATGAAATCAAGATAAATAAATTCAGAAGATAAAATCCAGAAAATCAATCTAATTCTAAATTTTTTGTTATATTTATAGCCTAATTCTAAAAGAAATATGGAAATCGAGGATACTCATCACTCATTTAAGTAAACATTGAAATTGAAATCAAAACAAATCTAGAAAGGTCAAACAAATTCTAAAAAAGAATATTTTTGTTAAAATTTAAATTCATATTTTTTACTATAAATGAAAATATATAATATAGTATGTGACAAATTATAATGCATATAACAATTTAAGAAAAAAATAGTGAAAATAAAAATAATTTAATTGGAAATAATGTTATAATTAAATTTAGATATATAATAATACATAAATGAAATAACTTCTCTTTGAACTGTTTTTGGTCCTTATTTTTAATGTGACTGTTTTGTCCTTCAAATTTTTTATAAAAAATAAACTCATTTATTTTATCTAAACTTTTATTTTTACGTTTTAGTTTTTTAACCTTTTTTTAGTAATCGCTGCAATTATAGTTCTATTGTAAATGAAAATTTTTCATTATTCATGTGATTTTTTTTTTCTTTCTTTTCTCATTTTTTGCTTTCCATCTTATTGTAAGACTTTTATCTTCCTTTGTATTGTTGATACACAATTGTTCTCAAGAATTTTATTTTTTTTCAAAACATAAATAGATGTGTGAATCTCACTAGTCTTTATTAATGTATACTAATATGTAAAGAAAATACTCTTTTAGTAACTATTTTTGGTCTTCACATTTGATAGATTATTATACTCTTTTATTATTAAAAAAATAATTAATAAATTAATAATCTTTTTAGTAACTACTCTCTTTTAATAAACTACCCACTATGCTATTTTTATTCCTTAACTATTTTTAATACTTAATCTTAATTTTTATATTTTAAATTATATATAGAAACAAAAATTGTTTCGACTCCATTAGTTTATAATATATATAAAGGCGATAACTTAATTTAGTGTACACATATTTTTAGATAACTTTACTCTTTAATTTTTAAATATAAAAAATAATATTAAAAATTAACTACCCTTCTAAACACAAGATTCAAAGTCTAAAACTTGAGACTTCGAGAACCAAACGCAACACCAATTGATTTAACAATATTCTTAAATACCTTTATTAAATAACTATAATGAATGTCCCAACCCAACTAATATATATATACTTTTTTTTTGGACAATTTTACCTTTAGCTATTTAAATAATATCAAAAACTAATCATTGTGTAACCACTGAAATAAGTTAATCACTTCTAACCACTCAAAATTTTAAATTTTTAACTACCTTTATCACTTAACCTCAATTTTATTTTATTTTTAAATTTTTTAATAAGATATAGAGGTATGAAATACGTCGATCTCATTAATATATATAAGAGAGATCTACTTACTCTAAGAGTAAGTCTACGAAGACTTACTCAATAACGCATGTTCTATATCAAATTTTAACGATTCGGTTAAATTAAAAGTTTTTCAATGCATAGATCAAGTTTGTAATTTTTTTTAAAAAATTAGAATAATTTGATACTTCATTATATTAATTCAAATTGATATATGATTATAAAAATATTTTATATGTTGATTTGAATCTATATAACGAAATATGATAAATTTTAAAAAAAAATTGTAAACTTGATCTTTGTATTAAATTTTTTTAATTTAATGGTTGAATCGTTGAAATTTAATATAGAATGAGTTAATAAATGAAGTAAGTCTACTAAAACTTATTCTTAGAATAAGTGGATCCCTCTCTATATATATATATACATTATCAAAATCATTAATTATTTTTATTATGAGAGATGAGATGAGTAAATCATAAATTTTTAGATTATAAATAAAAATAATTAATAATTTTAATAATGTATATATATATATATAAAAGAATTCACAAAACTTTTAATATTTCCACTTTCCCCTCCCTCCTCTTTGTTGTGGTTGGACTATATCATATGAATCAATAGAGTTAAGAAAATATTTGGATAAACTTTTATAAAATAGGAATGTAGGAAGAAAAATTGAAGTAAATTATTTTATAAGTTAAAACTAACTTATGCACAAATTAAATAAAAGGAGATTTCAAAGAAATTCAAATAATTTATAAAAAAAAAAAACTTATTTTACTTTTTTTAATCTTTTCTTTCAAAAAATACTTTTGGAGAAGTTTACCTAAATATAACCATAATAGCACGGGAAATGTTAGGATGGTTACTATCACATTCACAGATGGCGAAAGCCCTCTGAAAATTGACCACAATGTGAGTCATGGCTGGTCTAACTTTCCCTTCCAAATTCACGACTTACTCAACTGCCTCGGCCTCATTCCCATGGGGTGGTTAGATCCAAAACTTCTGAGTAATTCTCCCAAAATAGTACCTTAAATTTTATAACATACTATCATTATTAGAACTTCGTGACTAACAAATTTTAATTTCATGATTTTATTTCACATTTTTTTAATAGCGCCCCACAATTTTAGGAACTTAATTGGTAGTTTTTTTCTATATTAGAATATACCAAACCAAGGTCCCTTGATATTTTTCTCAAGTAGCACCATTCAATCTACTCATTGACAAGAGTGAAATTTACACCCTCGCGCATAAAACTTCAGTAATAGAGGTGGAAACACATTTTTGGAGCCACTGTTCTTCTCATTGTCAATATGTGCATATCCTTTGATTTCACCCCAACAGTAAAAGATTGAATCACAACTGTGGACTAGGAATATTTGATGTAAATTAATGAAATAGTAGCAAGTACCTAATCAATGATACACACTACTCTCAAAGATCTCACAATATAGAACTTGTGAAGCATTGACTCACTATCAAATTGCCACAACTACAATGCAAATTACTCTACAATTACTGCCACAGAAACTTAGCAGCTTGTTTCATTGATCACCACTGAGTGCAATAGCTAACCAGCTGGACACTGATGACTGAATTTCCATGTGACTATTTGCATACAAAGATAAAGGGGTAACTGTAACCTGTCATGTCAAAAGGAAACATAGTACCAAATTAGCACAATAATATAGGATGCTTAGTTCTTATATAGGATAGGTAGAAAACACAAAATTATCACTCACAAATCCCTCTTCAAGTGCTCTTGAGTCTAAATCCTCCTCTATGTTCTGCTGCCTTTTCTCTGTTAACTGCAATGTGAATTCAGGCAATGAATGCAATTTGTTGTGTCATACATGAGAAAATGAGAAGAAGCATCAGCGTGAAAAAAAAATTAACTAAAGGGTAAATTACACCGAGAATCTTGAAGTTTCTTAAAATTTCACATGATACTCATGTTTTTTTAACACTAACTCTCCTTAATCGTTCAAAACACATTGTATTATGTATCCTTATTATCCAAGAAACACATTACAAGGATACAAGTGCGATGTGTTTCAAACAATTAAGAGGAGTCGCTATAGGTGAAAAAAAGACAAGAATATTGTGTAAAATTTCAAGAAATCACAAGGGTGTCTGAGTAATTTGCCCTTTAATCAATACCCATTGTGCCAAATGAAAACTACATTCATGTGATCATGTTTGTTTGCTTAGCAAGCAAGTCATGTTAATGGTACCTCCATTCTGAAGTATTTCTTTATGGTTTGTTGAGAACTGAGTTTTCCAGCAACACCAACTGATTCAACCTCCACGTTCTTACGGTTTGAGTTTAAACGCCGTGCTGCTGCCTAAAGAGTTTAATACAAAGCAAGTTCCATTGAAAAATGAGAGGCTCAAAGATTGTTCCTATAAAGAAGGAAACTAGCTGTTGAAACCTGAATGCATTAAGCTATGGTGCTTAGATAAGAGAGTCTTACAGCAGCAGAGGCATCTCGTCCTAGTTGTGCTAACATGATTCCAAGACTTTGCTGGTTAGACATGTAACGTCCGGCTGAAGGATTCGTATTTGTTGACACAGCCTGCCAACTTAAGGAAGACCTCTGTGGACTTTGCCTTGTCACTTTGACACCCTATTCACAAAATGTAGATCATAAGAACACCCACCTGAATTGTCATTGGAAAGCACAATGTCTAACTAAATGTCATAGGCTTAATTGCACTTTTTTCCAATCAAGTTTTATGATTTCACAAATTTTGACATCTAACTTTTGAAATTGCACATTTTACTACTCAACTTTAAAAAACTTTTACATATTTTGTCGCCTTGTTTATTGATCGTCTGTCTATATTAGTTCACTACTAATATGGTATGTCAATTGCTGACGTGACACATTGATTATGAACGTGACACATTATGCCATGTTATCGTCCAATGACATCAACAATTCATGCCAACAAATATGTTACATCAACAATCAACTAACGTAGACAAATTATCACTTAACGAGATGAAAAAATGTGCAAAGTTTGAAAGTTCAGTAATAAAATGTGTAATTTCAAAAATTGGGTAGTAAAATTTGTAAAATTGTAAAACTTGGGTGGCAAAATATATAGCCTATTAGCCCAATTTGGAAATAAAATAAGTAAATTGAATCAAATTTTTCAACCAAAGTTAAAATCAACTCATGCATGTTAACTTCTTTATAAGTTCTCTTGGTATTTTCTCTAAAAGTTGAACTGCATAACTCAATTTTAATTTTTGGGATAAATTTGATTTGTTTTACATCTCTAATCGCTGTATTCTCCTATACGTAGTTGTAACGAAGTTTATCCAAATTGAGTTTATGTAAAACAAAAGGTTAGGATACTGATTAATTAACTTATGATGTATTAAATCATGGGATTCTAATTTCTTTACAAAATTATGGACATCAAAATATCTCCTAATATGCAACCAATTTTTTCAACATGAACTTGTAACTCAGCAATCTAGTTCTTGGCAAACACTAGAATATGAAAATATGATGATCAGGATACCAAACCTTATTTGTCAGAGGACAGCTTGGGATCGCTATATTGAGGAAGCAATTCTTGGGGAAAATCCCTTTCTGAATATCTCTTATGGCTGCGTGAACTAATGGTAAACATGCGGTAACTGCATCCTTCAAATCACTTTCACTGCTCACATTCTTTTCCCTGCAAGATGTTACATTAAAATAGTTCATGTGATCATTGGAGGGACAAAAGGTGTAGAACAGAAACCAAAAATGCAGAACATTTGACATAAGTACCAGTTCAATGATATACAAAGAGAAGGCACACCACAAATCAGTGCTTCTCTAGCTCCAGCAACAGCTCCGGAGTACAACCTACATCATTAAAGACAAAAAAATAATAAGGTTTGCCCAGCAAATACTATGTTTCATAAACACAAATTAATCCTTTGTATTCAGTTTTTAAATACTGCGAAGACTTAGACTATTCTATGGGGAAAAAAAAAACAAAACAAAAAGAGAATGTCACACACTTACGTGTCATAACCACAAGTTGCTCCTTTGTTTAGTCCACTAATTACCTGCTTTCAGAGTCATGCAATTAAAATGGGGTGTGAAATATATATATATATATATATATATATATATATATATATATATATATTCGATAGTTGGTGATAGATTTTTTGCATACACCAATACCTACCAAAACAGGTTTTGACCAAGAAAACAATGCCCCAGATAAAGCCAAAGAGACACAATCTGCAGGGGTTCCTGACATAAAGTAAAAACAAAAACAGAAATTCAAACACCCTGCATCCAAAAATGCGTTTTCCCCATAACATCGTGAAAAAAATTCAAAAACATATAAAAATCTAGATTCTAGAACAGTAAGAATAGAACATATCAATGTACTACTCTCATAAGTCATAATCATAATTCTCAACCAAATAACCAAAAGGAAAAACACAAAAGTGAGGCGCAGTTCTTAAGATGATTTTGGCACTATTTTTCCATCAGAATTACAGTTTCAACTAAGTAATCTGTATGACATTTAATGAAAACCTTCATTATACAAATTACCAAAGACTAATGAAAAATAGCACAAAAATTTTGTTCATTATCTAACGTGTGAAACCACCTGACACTTGAAAACCGTTGGCACCACCAACTTGTGCTGAACACACAGCTAGAGTCTCCCCAGTGGTAACCGAGTGACCACACACCGATCTATCCCTGCACCAACAAAAATTCATCGTCATCGTGTCATTAAACAAACCACCCCAGTTGAAATTTTTTCATGATCCACACATTGAAACAACTCAAATCTTAAGAAACTGAATTAAGCCTAATTCAACCATAGAAAATAAACTTATAAGATGAAATTTTTTTTCTACTTATATATTTTATTCCAATCATATTATCAGTAGATATGAGATCTTTAATACATTCACTCATATCGAAGACTCTACAAGCATGATTCAAGTAATGGCTTGATTGTGAGTGGTCTGAAAAATCCAACAACACTTTGTAAAATAGTCTCTGATAATATCTTAGAATTATAAGTTTGAATCTAACTAAATCCTTTAAAATTGACTTATAAAATGGATATTACTCTAAATTTATATACATTATCATGGCCATCTCATTAGTTTTCGATATCAAATTCACAAAAAACATTTTTTAAGGGACTCACAATTGTGGGGCACAGACATGGACATCAAGAAGTTCATCACGAAGGAGTGCCTCAACGAGGAGTGTGAGGCCAGGAGAGTCTATGCCTTCTCCATTGGTGACTAGTACCACGGGCTTGGAAGAAGCTTTTGAGGGTTCTTTGGCTTTGTTGAGGTGCTGCTCCTGCACACTGTCCTTTCTACGGATCAGTGCTTGTTGGAGATTTGAAACCAGTGCAGGGTTCAGAAAGTTGTTCTTCACCGATGTGGCCATTGGAGACAGGAATTAACGTAGTACGATTGTGAAGTGAGACAGAGATTGTTAGATAGATGTTAAAGTTGCTGTACTCTAGTCTTTGCAAGATTCAAATTAGATGTTGGTGTGTTTCCATTTATAAGCCTGCTCTTTAATTGCAACTGTACTAGATTTGAGTAATTCAACTCACTTTAATGCCTTTTAATCCATTTATTATAAGTAGCTGTACTAGTTAACACATTTATCTTTCTAACAATTATGTATTAATTTATGGTATTTTACTTTTACAACAGAACTTGTTCAAATTCATCACCACTTGGATAATCGTAGTCCCTTTTATGGCATGTTTGATTAAGAAAAAAGAAAATATGAATCATGATATATTGTGGTGTACTACTGGTACTCTTAACAAAAAAGTGGAAGAATTTTTTCTTAAAAAAATGTTTTCACAAATCGACTCAATTTTTTTCTTCAAAAGAAAAAACTTTATTTATATTTGAAAAATGCTTAATCTTCTGACTGCATTCCCCGATTTATCCTTCAGATCGTTAAAAAATTGATAACTGTCGATTAATTTTAATATAGATATTAATTTAATTTAAAATTTGTGAAGGTTTTACATGTAGGAGGATTATTCGACCATTTTGTTTCTAGGTCGAAGCATTTCTTTTCATATTTTCTTTCTTCTTATGACATATTTGATTGAGAAGAAAGAAAATAAGAATAATAATGTACTTTTTTATTGGAGAACAAAATGTATAAATAAATAAAAAATAAGAAAAGAATTTACTAGTAAAAACAAGATTTATATATAAATAAATAAAAATTTCTACTTTAAAAAAGGGTGTTGGTAAACTCTTTAATATATTCGATTGAATATATTGTTTACGTATTTTTATGAGTAAAATGATAGATAAGGGATGATACTTCCATGACCACCAAGTAGGGAGTTAATGACATGTTAGAGATTTTCAATTTGATTTTTTTTAAATATTTAATTTTATCTTTTTATATAATTTTATTAATGTCGTTAATGTCAATTTAAACGAAAGAAATACGTTGAACATATTTTAAAAATAAAAAATCAAATTGAATCTTTTAAAATAATAAAATTAATTTGAATTTTAAAAATAAATAAAGAGAAACAAAATATTATTGAATATAACATTTAAAATATTTATTTTAGAAGTCAACTTAGTTGTCTATTATAATTTATCATTCGATGATAATAAATAATTTTTCACACATGCATATATTATTTAATTCTGTAGTGTCATTTAATAACAAATTGTTATGGAAAATAAGCTTATCAATTTATAATAATCCTTAAAAGTTATTTCTAATTAACATAATTTTTAATTGATGAAAATTTAGATATTTTATTAATAATGTATGAAAATGAAACTTTTTATATAAAGAAAAAAATTATTCTTTAGTTTGCTTTTTTAAAAGATATTTTAAGTTTTCTTAACTTGTAATAATAATATTAAAAGAGTTTAACTTGATTGGACAAAATACGTGAGAATCATAAACCTTTTCGATAGTCATATTATAATTCTATTTAATACATGTGTTTAATTTTTATTATATATATATATATATAAAATACCAAAATTTGAACCTAAATTATCTAAAGTCAACACTGAACTGACATACAAATTTATTCTTTTAAGAACACAATTATAAGTCTCTTGTTACTGTTTTTTTCAAATAGATAAGAGCACTGCTACAGTCTCCGAAAATGGAAGTCGAAAAATTATCCAAATAATTTTTAAATTTTTTGGACAATTCTTCAACCTTCATTTTTGGAGGATACAGCATTTTCCAACAGATAATGCTAGAGTTAGTATCATGTTTAGAAAAGAAAAATAGTTTTAGAAATTATGTAAATATATGTATATAATCTGAATTATTTAATAAGATGTTGTGATGAGATTAAAGTAGCCTTTGATGATCATGTGAGCAGTGGTTGAAGGTAAACTGATGCAAGTATAGGGCACATGTTGTAATTGCAAGTACCCCATATTCATCTGCTTCACATGTCTTGCTTTTATTATTGTCATCATGCTGCTTTTTTCTCTTTCATATTTAACTGGTGTCACATTATTAATTCGCACCTGTTTTTCATTACTCATCAATTGTCATCATAGATTCATAGGTTATGTAATAATACATCAATAAGTCTTTTTTACTGGAACCGGTTTAAATACAAGTGTCTTAAATATCAAGGATTCATTTTAGTAGAAAAGTTTTTAAATTGTATTTAAATAGACTCACTACAAAAAAAATTGTTATATAGTGACACACATCTTATAATGATATAATATGTGTCACTAATGTTGGTATATATAAAATATGTCGTTAAATCTCATTCAAAATCAACACTAAAATTATGTACAACTATATGTCAAATAGGTATATACTTACATATATTTATACTTATAATAACACTTTTTATATGTTATTATATGTAACATTTATTGTAGTGACTCTTAATTTTTTTAAGTTTTATATTTAAGTCTTTTAAATGATGAAAAGACAGTTAAAAAGAGACACTTTACTAAAAATAATTAAATTTTTTAACAAAAACTTAATTGTTGACAAAGTTAATATTAAAATAATTGATTCTCTTAAAGTAAAATTTTATGTTTAAATTTTATAAATGAAAAATATAATAGAGATTAATTACCAATAAAATTGGTTGATAAAACTTGTACCATGATTATTAAAAATAGATATCATAGGTTGTGCCAAGGCAAAAGATAGTGTGCGGAATATTGTTACATATTACTTCCTCTATTTTTCATTATAAGTAACAAAAAACAAAAGGACATTTTTTTACTTTTAAATATAATTAAACTTTAATTATTTTGTGTCATTTAATGATAATCTTCCTAAAATAACTCTTATTTAATATATGACTTTCAATTGTACAACTTTTTTCTCTTCATTTATAACAAAAATAATTTAAAAATAATATTATAAAATTATTAAAATTTAATACAAACAAATAATTTTCTTAATAGGTACGAAGTAATTTTTTTAATAACAGAAAATATAAGGGGTATTTATAATTAAAGTTAAAATATTTTTTAATCTATATAATTTTATTTATTTTATCTTAGTTTAAAATAGATATTTTTAATCTTATAGTTATTTTTTTAAAGAAAAATTTAGTTCTTATAATTTTATATGTACTTTCTAGTCCTGTATTTACAATTTTTATTTTTTTAGATTTTGTCGTTAATTTTTTTTATAATGTCTCTTTCGTGTGTTAACAAATATTAATTCAACTTCATATATTTGATATCGAATCTATTATGTTAGAGAGTTATTTTAAAATAAATCTCTTGACATTTTATTTTTTTTGTATTTTTAATTGTGATGCTTATTATTAGAATATTTTTTTTATCTTTACAAAATTCAAAAACTTTATCACGTCAACATAAAATAGATAATAATATATATATATATATATAAATTAAAAATATCTATTTTAAATTATAAATACTAAAAATAAAGTAACTGAAATTATATAAATTAAAAAATAGAGTATATTTTAACTTATAATTAATTAATAAGTTAATCACTTACACACTACTGTTAATGTAAATTTTTTTTACACTGATAACTAATTATATATTTTAATTATATCATATCATTATAAACATATTTACTTTTAATAGTAATATAGTATAATTAAAATATATAATTGATTATTAGTGTAAAAAAATTTACACTAATTTTAATTAATAAGATGTAGTTCAAAAGTTAGTGACCAGTCGTCAATGACATTGAAATAAATGTTATTTTATTGCCATGCAATTTTGACGAATCATAACATTAATGTTGAACTATTTTGAACTATTTTCTAGACAATTTAGTTAAACTTTGAGATAACATCATATCATTTCATATGCAACCACTCGTTGCTTTCTTTCTCTGACATGACTGCTGATTGGGTCCCATGCCATTCAACCATTTTCTATGATTTCAGTAACATAAATTGCTGCGAAATCTCAGGGTCAATTATTTTTGTCACATAAACCATGTATAATAATAGTGAAAACTGAAAACTGTTAATAATAATGATAATAATAAATAAATAAATTTATGAAAAGTGACGTAACGTGCAGTGACAGTATTAGCCACCTATAGCCAATTAATATTTGTTAGCAACTTTTTTTTAATTAGTAAAAATTATGTGAATACAAATTTAAGACTTGGTGTATGTTATTTTAATTTTTATAATTAATCCGACTTTAATGGTTTATATTTAGTGTAATTTATGTTCTGTGAAGTTATTCTCCCACACAAACATATACTTAATAATAAAAAAATTAATGTATTCTTCTAAAATAACTTTGAAAAAGAATTATTTACTAAGACTTTCTTTTGGATACATGCACTCCATCTGATTATGATGATAAAAAATGAGAAAAAAATAAGATGAAGAGAAATAAAAAAAGGAGTAAAAATAAATAAGAACTAAAGTGAAAATTAGTATGTTTAGTTAAAAAACAATTGAAAATAGAGGAGAAATGATATTATAAAATTATTTTATTTGAATGATAAAAGAGAAAAAAAAATTATGATAAGACTGAATTTACTAATTTGCCCTTCAAAAATGGTTATGTGGCATATCTAAAAATTTTCCGATAATTTAATGTTAGTCAATTAAAAAATCTAAAATCTATTGAACGGGTCTCATGTAAAATGAAATTAATTGATTAACAAAATTTGTTGGTTGATTACGATGTGTTCAGGGTCATGAAATTCTCATCACTTTATTTAAAATTGAATTAAAAAAAACAAATAGGTCAACCTAATCGATTATGAAATTTTCATAATTAATTACATTGACTAATGTAATCAATTAAAAATGTCTCATGAGGATAAATTAGGAATGATCAAAATCGATTAAAACTTATATTTATTAGATTATGGTTTCAAAAAATAAACAGGAGAAGAGGTAATATAGAAAAAAGTAGGTCATGATGAACTCAATTTCTTGTCCATTTCCACACACAACACGGGAAAATAAAATAAATGTGAGTTTCACTTATTTTAAATTTTTTCCTCCCTTAATTTATTTCATACCAACCAAGTTATAAACCTATTTTTACACAAATATTTTCACTTTTTTCTTCTTATTTCTTATTTATTTTCCTCTATCAAACACAAACACATTGTTGTTTAATTTACCTAATAAAACTACTTTAGTCATCCAGACAACATTGATTTCAATTCACAATGCAACAATTATTCAGTTCCCCATTTCAAATGAATTTGAATCTTGAAAGCAAAAGGTTTTCAGTTAACAATGGAAAAGGTTCTTAAATAATTTCCAATAAAGCATGACTTTATACATGAATTCAAATAAACGAGGGTCTATGCTCTTTAATTATTTATTTTTATTGATAGATGCACCTTCAATATTCTCTCTCCCATGATTTAACACCTTTCATGAATCTCTTCTTTTTTTTTTTTCCCTTTTTGTTTTTCTGAAGGAGGTAAGCAGAAAATATTTTTAATAGAAAGAAAATCACGTTTAACAAGCTTTGCTTTATAAAAAAAAAAAAAAAAAAAAAAACACACACACACACACCGAAAGCTCTTTTAATTTAGTCTTTTTAGTTTTTTTTTTTTTCCTTTTACTATGTAAGTAAGAATTTGATTACAAAATATACAAGTTACAATGACATGACCATAATCAAATACACAAAATGACATAACAATGCAACAGTGTACACTGTACAATGTTCTATGGTCAATATCTTCTAATAACAATGAAACTAAAATAGAATGTTAGATGTGGTCTGGTGTGAGAAAAGAGGAGCTGCATATTCAGAAACAATTTTGGAAGCAAATAAATCTTTGGAGGGATTTCACTGGATAACAAGTTCATTAGTATACGTTTAGGAGTTGGGTTTGGAAACAAAAGAGAGGGGAGGATTTTTTTTATGTTAGAATTTATATAAATTTTATAAAAATAAACAAAACGTTAAGGCAATAAATTAATGCTAATTTATCATTTTAATTTCTTTATTTTTTTTTCAAATAAGAGTATATTTATTAGAAATGAAAAGTTTGTCTCCCCTCTCTTTTCTTCTAAAACTCAACTCTCTAATACCTTTAGAAAGATAATTTGATCATCTTATTTTCTTACAAAAAATTCAATTAGGAAAAAAAAAACACAGATTACAATCTGTAACCAGATATCATGAAAAAACTATATTATCTCTACCTCCACTATTGCTTATGAAAATATGAGAGTTATAGTGAAAGAGAAAACTTAAATATAGATTCTTAAGTGTTATTGATATTGTTAGTATTGTTCTTTGATTAATTGATATAATATATTTGCATTTGATGCAAATATCATTAATGTACATTTTGTTGGCTACAAGAGAAAAAAGAAAACTTCAATTGCGGAAGTACACACATGAGAGAAACAAAAAATAGAGAAACAAACTCAGAAATTAATGTGGTTCGACACTTCTTGCCTGTATCCACAAACACATTCAACAAATTATTTTATTACTCCACTTGTAATTTTTACAAGGATAAAATTGTAAACTCTCTCACACAATTTTTACACGAAAAATTGCAAATTCTCTCTTAACACACAACTACTAAGTCCCCAATACACCCAAAAACTAGTGTTGTTGTGGTGAGTAGACACAAACTATCACCCCTTATTTATAGTAGTAGTCTACCACTTCCCTTCTTCAAAATTATCCGATGTGGGACTTTGGAGGATATCCACACACTTTGGGCACAACACATTTATGTATATTATTGAAATAAAACTCTAACTCTAATTGAAAAATAATATTAACCGCATACCCAAGTTTTGTCCAATAATGAATACTTTCATTAATAAAAGACTTTTAAATAAAGAAATACTTTGAACCTACATGTAACACTAACAACACTAGAAACTATAATGAAAGCTTACTTACCAAAATGGAGTTGTAGTTAATAGCTTCTAATTTTAGTTCAAAATGTTCTAAATGAGTAAACAATGAGGGTTGTTATTTGGCTTTTAACCATAATTATAAATTAGAAAGTTCCCCAGTGAAAGTGGCCTTGACTTTATAGCCAAGCAAACCAGGTGATGAATAATCAATGATCTGTGGATGTAAATTCATGTGAGCACAGTACACACTGGACCAGTGAGTGGGTGCAACTAAGATAGTAAATAGTATAGGGAAATATGGTACCAACATGATTCATAATGAGATGGTTTAAAAGTTGAATCCGGAGTTGCTTCTAAGTCATAATTTACAACTAGATATCAACCAATTTCAGAAGTTATTCCGAAAATAATTTCGGAAATGTAAACTGCTAATACTTGTGACCTTAGGACAGTTTGGTTGCAGATTAAAAATGAAAGAAAAAAAATATAATCTTAATCAATTTAGTGATTATTCTTTTGATAAAGAAAAAATGATTTCAATCCCTGAAATTTTTTTGAAATTGGTTTTAATCCCTTAAAATATATTTTATGCTATTTTGATTCCTTCGATATGAAAACACATCACTTTTTGTCCTCAAAATAATTTACTTAACAATTAGTAGTTATAAAGTGCTATTAGCATCACTCCGAAATGTGGTCCATTTTCAAATTAGATAAACCAAAATGAAACAAAAATAAAATTAAAGGACTAAAACAAAAAAAAATTTAAAACCCAAAATATATTTTATCTATTAAAAATAATTTATTCATTTACAATCTTAAGATATATATATATATATATATATATTAAATATATTTTTAGTCCATATAATTTTACTTACTTTATCTTTTAGTTTCTATAATTTAAAATAGTTATTTTTAGTCTCTATATTCTTTTTTTAATCTTTTTTAATTCTTTTAGTTTAACATAGATTTTTTTAATCTCTATATTTACAATTTTTTAATCATTTTAGTCTTTTTCATTACTTTTCTTTTGTAACATTGTCAATTTTATGTTAACATAACAAAAATATTATTTCAATTTTACCTCATATCCAATTTATTTTTACAGATTACTCGAAATTAAATCTCTGTCTTTTTTACATCCTCACCTGAAACACCCATTGCTGAGACCCCTTTATTTTACTCTTGCAATTTATCACGTTAACACAAAAAGGATAAAGTTACAAAAAAAAAAAAAAGTTATCGATAAGAACGAAAAAGATTATACATATTTATCTTAAATTATAGACTAAAAAAATTTATTTTAAACTATATAAATTAAAAAGTAAAAAGTAAACTAAAACTATAGAGACTAAAAAAAATAGTTTAACCTATTAAAGAAACTGACTTTTGAGAAGAAACTATTCAAATTAGCTTCCAATTTTAATCAGAATTGTTTTTTAGTTCCTAATTTTGAAAAACCGAAGCAAATTCATTTTCTTTTTAAATGATTCTTCTATGAAAGAAAAAAAAAAAGCTGAAACAAAGACGCCTTTATTCCCCCTCTAAATCATACAGGTGAAGCACCAAAGGAGTATTCTGTCTAATCATGATCAGCAATTATTTTTTTCTTGTCAATCTGTTCTATAAATGCTTAAAAATGCCTTTTGAGCTAGACTCAATGATGTCAACGTCTTAATTTTGATCCCAATCCATGGAAATTTTGTAACTTGCGAAACCAACTTCTCTTTGATCTTTGCGTACAAGTAAAAAATGATGATAAAATAGAGAAAATAGAAGAATACATGAGGTCTGAAAAACATCAAACATCTTTACGCCTATTTGAACTGATTTGATATTGTCCCCACCGGATGGGAAGCTACATTATAAAATCAGTAGTAGAATCATCTATCGAAACTCTTACAGGAAAATTCCAAGTCCCCACCAACAGCATCAAATTGGATTTTCTAGGGCCAACATGCTTACAAAATGAAATTTCTTGAATTTAAATTGTTATATTAAAATCCATTCACACAAAGTTACATGAGAATCCAAATCAATACCACATTACCACTGCACTGCCCAAGAAATTATTCGGAAAAGTTAAACCAAAAGTGCAAAAACCAAGAATCAAAACAATGATCTACCCATGTTGATTCTTAAGACTAACTGAGAGTCATTCTCATCAGATCAGCTCATAGTACCTATAACAGCTACTATCTATCACTGTTAATGGAAGACCTTCATCAGCAAAGGTTACAACTTTGTCATTATTCGGAAGTTATTTGGAAATAATGCTCTACACAAGCTGATTCTTAAGACTGACTGGGAGCCATTCTCAACAGATCAATTCATAGTACCTATAACAACTACTATCACTGCTAATGGCAGACCTTCATCAGCAAAAGGTTACAACATTGTCACATGAGGAGAATATATATTAAAAATGAGGAAGCAATGAGATCAAATTGTCTTAAAAGGACTTAAATAAAACCATGCTTCACTGTTACCTAAAAAATAAATAAAAAATAAAAAAACCATGACATGAATTGAACATCTGCTGTGCATTTAAATGCTTAAGTCTCCAAAAAAATAGTAACATGAATTCCTAGACAGTCAAATTACAAAATTCTCAAGAATAATATCATCATTGATGAGAATTAAATTCGTAGCATACTTGGTTGTTGATCACCCTCTGTAATGCACGATAACTGAATTTTCAAAATTTAATTCATGAGCAATGCAACACTGTAAATATGTTTCAATCCCAAAAGATCTAATATTGGAAAATGTTTAGATGTAGTAATAATAAGATAATTTAGAGAATAAACAAAATACAGCATAGCATAAATACCCAAATTGAGGTAGCAATGGCTGTTTAGAGTTCTCCAATATATTCTAATAAGTATAGAACTGATTGACTCAATTCATAATTATAAACAATTGAATAACAACTGACATATTATTTCCGATCCAAAATTCAGATAATTGCCTCTTGAGTTAGCAAATAACAAATAGCACTCTGAGTTAGCACGATAAAAGCCCTGGTCAAATAATAGTATAACACAGTTGCAAGAAATGCATTCAGAGCAGGATAAATGGATAACATTTCAAAATGCATATGCAGAAACAAAGAAATCAACTAGAGTACAGAAATATTACAAATGCATTTAGTTACAGTGTACAAGAGGAAAAAATCAAATGAAGTGAACTACTTTGCTATTGCCCTAGCAACTTTCAAAAGTTCCACAAAACAAAAGTAACACGCAATTCAAGAGCAAGTCAACCTGTCCATTCAATGAGTTCACGCAATTCCTTTATACATAATGTTTAGCAGCCTAAAAATTTGACCAGTCTTGCTCTTGCCCCACCACAAAACAACCCAAATTCCCCAAGCAAACAGCAATTATTCTTTTCTTTTGATTCGTAAAGTCAATCTGGAACATAGATATTAAAGATATATCTCAAATAAAACCATCAATGACAAAGGGACAGAAAGATCCTAAAATACGACACTCTAAGAGAATGTTTGGATCCATGCCCATAAACTCCATCCACCAAAAAAATTCATGTCCAACACGCAGAAGCTACTCCTATTAGCTTCTATATGACATGGATTGAACTTGATGTAACAGAGAATCAAACATGTGCTAAGAGTTTTCAGGAGTGTCATGTTGATGCTCATTGTTATTCGCATTAGCTGGCTTTTCTTGATTCAGGACACGTCCAGTTAGTGCATCAACAGGGAGAGTATCACGTGGTCCACCTTTCCGCCCCATTGCCACCATTGGCGGCGGTGGCAGCACACCAGCCCGGAATAGAAGACGCTCCACCGGCTCCGAAGGCTGAGCTCCAACAGAAAGCCAATACCTAAACAAAAAAGAAACCAACACTATCTCACAATAGGTTCTTCGTCCCTTGTTCACAAAGAAAACAATAAGGATTAATTTTGTAAAAGACACATACACATGATAATCATAATCACCCACCCAGAAAAACTTCTATTTCTTCCTTGGAAACAACTATATTAATTATTGAAATATTTAAAATTAATTCCAAAATTGACAAAGAAAGAAAGAGTGAGTAACTTGACTCTTTCGAAGTTGAGACCCATTCTCTTGCCACCATCTTGACCTGTGAGGAAAGAGAAACGTGAGAATCAACTAGAAGCGTAAATGCGTGTATCTAATTAATCATGTTTGGGAATAGTGATAACCTGGCAAAGGATTGTAGTAACCAAGAACTTCGAGGTGCTTGCCATCTCTTGGGGATCTGCTATCAGCAGCCATAACCCGATAGAACGGCTTGTTCTTACACCCGAACCGGGACAGCCGAATCCTCACGACCATTTTCCAACACTTTTTCCTTCAAACCTGATTGTAAACAGAACCACGCTCGTGGGTGCAATAGGGTTCTGGGTTTAATCGCCAAACGACACTTCAATCTGTGTCTGTTGTTTTGATAAAGCCTTGTGATTGTTCAATCTGGTCTCTTTTTTACACCTTGATCAATCTGATTATTTAGAGGTTATAGGACCCAACCCAAAAATTTTGATTTGTTCCTTTAAAACCATTAAAAAAACACTAAATTAAAATGCTGAACTAATTATACTATTCATGCTACTCTAGTAATAATTAAAATAGTCAAAGGGATTATTACACACTTACATTACAGACAGGGATAAAAGTAAATTGGTTCAATCTACACCAATTAACACAATTACAAATCAAACATCTATTTCCTTAACTTGATGGTAAATTGCAGACATCACTTTGGCTAACTTAATGTCAATAAAAAGAATATATATAAAAAAACCGACTTTATAAAAAATACCTCTTATATCTTAAAATACCTCATGCTAAATTTCAGACAGGAACCACATTTCTGTTGCATATTCATAGAAGATTTCAAAGAAATTAAAAAAAATAAAATAAAATAGAAGCTGTATAAGACAACATGTATTATATGTATACAGAGCAGAGCAATCGCTTAAGCTTAAGCACATCAAAATATGAAGTAAGCAATTTCTTAAATTAAAATGGCACAGAACAAATGAGAAGATACCTGTGGGCTGTGGGATGTGGCTGTAAATTCTCTGATAGGGGGGCGGAGGCGAAAACAACACTAAACAAACCCTAACACTGTGCCCAGCGATCGCAGTGAGTGGGCCTGGCTTGTGGTAGGTCAATACGACAACACTATCGCCAACATTAGTTTTTTTTTTTTTTTTTTTTAGTGAGGGTGGATATTGTCGTATGAATTCATTTTCTTTTATTTATTAATGATTTTAATATGTGAAATGTATTAGTTAAATATTTATTATGTATAATTAAAATTTATAATAAATTATATATATAAATAAATATTATGTTTAAATAGATATTTTAAATATATAAATTATATTTTAAATTTATGATAAATAATTTATATTATAATATAATATTATTTTTATTTATTAATAATTTATTTTAAAATTTTAGAAAACTAAAATTTAATTTATAAATAATTATGGTAAATAAAAATTATTCTATTTTTTAAAAAATTTTGTAATATATAAAAAATAACTTAGATCATTCTTTTCAAAGATACAAGTCAATTAAATATAATTTTATTACTCAATTGGTAAAATGGGGACTTTGGACAGAAAAACGATAATGAATAATAAAAATTTCAAAACAAAAAATTAATGAGATATTTCAATAGGAAATTACATTGATTTAAAATTTTAATCTTTACTGTAAAATTTTCACATTTTAAAATATAATATAAATTCAATCAACCTTAAATTAACACGAACGTAATTAAAATATAGATATAAACATAGATTAATTGAATTTTATAAAAACATAAAATGTAATCTCAATATCACAATTTTTGTAAAATTTAAAAATGGTGAACAGTTGATTTAGACGATTTAGGTTATTTTATATGTAAATCTAAAAATAAATTTCAATCTCAATTATAGATTGTTTTTAAATGAAATTCATTATCATGAAAACGAAAATTTAATCTAGAACGGAAAAGAAAACGAAGAGAATTTGTATGGTAAAAATATATTGGAAATTTTAATTTTATCGTAATTTATGTAATTTTGAATCGAGTAAATGGATTGACTACACATCTCCATCAAGTTGTTGCAATTCATTCGTTTAGAAAATATAAAGAGAAAAATCCAAGAGAGAGGGGGAATTTAAATAAAAAAAAAACTTGTACAAAAAATAACTCTAAAATCTAAAAAAATAAGTGAAAATGTACATAACTAATCTCATAATACCTATTAATAGACTAATATAGTGGGCTTGATCAGAATATTTACAAGGTTCGACCCACTAATAAACTAATTAACAAGGTTAGACTACTAATACAATAAGTTCCTAAAGTAAACCCAAAATGAAGAGTAGAAACATAACATTGATGCACATTTTTGGACCCTAAGACGTTTAAAGTGGGTGAAACTCCCAACAAAGAAGTTATAGAACTCTGACTTAGCTTTCTTGGGACACCAAGACTGTCTAATTTTGAGTTTGGAAGCTTCGGATATGGCTTACGCAAGACAGCATGTCAAAGTGGACACCAACTTGGTCTTAACATCATTTGATTCTTCTAGTTTTTCTTTTATGCTATCAACTAAGTCTTGAAGCCTTTTCCTATCTCAATCTTCTCATTGTGAATATGAATTTCTTGATTGGTGGATATGGTAGAGGTAAGGGCAATCTTTGACTCCTTAAGCCTTGTCCTCAATTTGTCGGTCTCAAATATGGACTCCATAAATAAAGTTTGAGCAATACCAAGAGAACGATCCATCAATTCACAAATGATAGACCATTTCGTCAAAGAGTTATCATAGGAAAGAAACTCTCGACCTTCAGATGATAATATGCCTTGGCCGAAGAGTTCTTGAGTTTTGATGGAGGGAGAAGGAAAAATAGTTGCATCAATTGAGGGGGGATAGCATGGCTCCCCATATAAAAAGGCATTTTCCTTTATTTTATCCTTTTTGTTTTTTTTGTTACATCCTCGGCACACTTATTCACTTTATACTTAGGGTTTTTTTTTCTTGGGACTTTTACCATTTTTATTCTTCTCTAAGCTTAGGGGTAAAGTATCAATAGGAGTAAGGCAAAGGAGTAGCAATCAAAGCCGAAGAGTTCTTAATGGCAGCAAGAGCAACAATGTTGAATCGAGTCCGTTCCTTGTGCACTTGACAAAAAGAGAGAATCTTAGCACCAGTTGAAGCCATAATACCTAAAAAAATAAAGAAGTCAACAATCAAAATAGTATATTAATAAAAACTCCATAGGAATAAAGCTTATCATTAATATCTCCATGGGGCTTATGGCATTTATGCATCTCAATTAAACATCTGGAGGGAAGATTATGAAGAAGGGTGTTTACAAAGGAAAGATCTGAGTGCTCATTGGGGGATAAATAAGCAAGAGGGAGTTTGTCATATATTCTTGGCACACGAGCCTAATAAAAAGGAAAAAGAGGTTTGTCATTACTATAAAAAAAATAGGCATGGCCCAAAGGGTGAATCTCGATTTTTAAAAACTAACTTTAACATTTTTATATAAAGAAGTGTAAGGTTTCAAAAGTTTTCGAGAAGGGTGACGAGCTAATGAAACCCATTTAGCCTTATCACTCGGACAACAATAGTAGTGATGCAAAAATAAGTTAGAAATAGGGTTACATGGGTATATTTTCATAAATACTAGATTGCTTTCATAGCGGTCTAGCTATTAGGATGAAGTTGAGTAACGGTAACATTCAATACCCGAAGCACACTAGTGAAAAAAAGGATTCATATGACGGGTAATACTAAAATTTCTAAAAATGCAAACATACATAAAGAAAAAAAAATGACTTTTATCTTGAGGAGTTTTTCCAACAAAAATATAATTTGGTCTTAGAGAGACATTGATCTTACAACACCAAATATATACACGAAAAGGTTGTTCTTCAATAAGAAATGTATATATTTTTATGTTAGAAACAAAGTTATGAAGGATTTTTGGATCACTAAAACGGGAGTTGCATGTAACAATGACACTATGGACCCATTTGAAACCATGAATAATAATGGACTTGATGGGGTCTTGGAAGAGTCACCAGGACTTGAATTTGAGTCCTCACCCTCGACCAAATGCTTTTTTCGATCATTAGCATGATGACTCTTGGAAGAAGAAGATAAAGAAGAGAAAAAGGACAAAGATGAGTCCACTAAGAAAGAAGTAGAGTTACTCATCCTTGTTATTGATAAAGTCGAGGATTCAAAGAAATAGAAAAAAGGTTCTCGATCTTAGAGTGAGAGCCTCAGAGAAATAAACTCCTATTTACAAGAGGAAAGTTTGCAAAAAGCAAACGATAGCAAGAGCCACAACCGTTTGATTCAAACATAATCAATGGTCACCAACATGCAACCTTTCATTTACTAAGAAAGAGAAACGTTTTGTTTCATGGAGAAGATGAAGTGACCAACCCCCTCATGATGAAAGGTTTTAGCTCCAACATAGTTAAAAGTAATGATGAAACAATAACATTAATTGAGGAATATAAAGAAACACATTGGCAGGTTAAGTAATAAGGTTTTCTCAATTTTATGAATTAATAGTAAGTCATTAAAATCTTGAAAGCATGGGACATGTATACTGGTAGGGGTTTGATTGAGGACTTGTTGGGTTCTTACTAAAGACAATTTGGAAGTGACATGTACCAAAGACATGGTAAAATGTCTATCATAGAAGTTAAAAGTAATTAGTTTGATGTTTTGGGCCTATCATCAAGGCCCAAGCCCAATAAGAGTATAATATAAATAATTATATTATGTAAGATGAAATGACACTTTTTAACATTGCATTTATAACAATATTTATTGCATCACTCTTATCGAGGTCAATACCAACTTGAGTATTAAAGTGACTTTTTGTACGTACATCCCTTTTCTCCTCAAACATATTAAGCCAGATATCACTTACTAAAGACTATGGAACCTAAGACTAGGAGCTTATAGAAAGAGGATGAATTTACCATTGTATCCCATTTTAGGTACAAAAACTATATTTGTACTTGTCAACAAAATGGTTAGGAACCATTTCTCACCTTTTTATCACTCTCTTTTTAAGTTGTGTTTTTGTGATTGATCACATGTAAAATTTCAAAATCCTCTTATAAAATGTTAGATTGAATGCTTCTTATCTAATCAACTAACATCAATGTTTTTCGTTTATTAGAAAATTTTTCAAAGATTAAAACTGAATAAATTTTGTTTAAAGACTAAAAACAAAAGTTGACAAAAGATCGTGGACTTAAAACATGTTTAACATTTTTTTTGTTATTATTGCTTTGAAATTGTGCTTCGTGGTTTTTAAAATATACTTTTATAAAGTATTTTTTGGAAGAGAAAATGTATTTACTCTTCTAGAAAATACTTTCTGAAAGTATATTTTTACTCTTCTAAAAAGTATTTTTTAGAAATATATTTTTTCTCCTTTGAAAAGTATTTTTTAAAAATATATTTTTGCTCTTTCGATATAAGAGTGATTATTAAAATATATTTTCAAAAGGTATTTTTAATTTTTTTTTTATCTTTTAGAATTACCTTTTGGAAAATGATTTTTTTGAAATCTATATCTATTATAAAGGAGATATCATAATATGTAACCATTTTTTATCTCCATTTTTTAATGAATTATTATATTCCTCGGATGTTAAAAAATATAACTTTTCATCCTCTTTGAATAATCACATACAATCATGTAATATCTAATTTATACCTATTATAAAAGAAATACCATGATATGTAATCATTTTTTGTATTTATTTTTTAATAGACCATTATATCTCTTGAATATTAAAAAAGTGTATCAATTCTTAATCTATACATATTATAAAAGAGATATATTTTGGTAACCACCCATTTGGTCTTCATTTTTTTGTGGACGATTATACTTCTTGAATATAAAAAAAATATTTTTAATTTTTTTAAATAACTATCCATAATTTATAATATTTGTCTGTGTCTAATTATTAGAGACATAAAGCGCCTTAACCACTCTGTACAAATAAAGAGAAAAAAAAAAGGTGAATGGAGGTAATGAAAGTCAAGATTGGAAAACAGTTAAATTTCATGGGCCAGGCCCAATAAATATCTAAAAAATTTCGTTCAGCGAGGATGGAAATTGAAAATGGAGGGAAAGCAAACCCTAATAACCGGCTAAAGTGTTCTTTCATGGCACCAATATAAATATAAAACTAAAATAAATAATAAAAAGGAAAAAGACATTCTAGTTTACTTCACTCACTGACACTGCACACTTCATTTGTGAACAAAAACAAATAATTGTTCCTCTTTTTTGTTCTTCTATTCCATGGCGAGGCTGCTTCGCAACGCCAACACTTCCCTCCTCAAACGTTCCCTCTTCCACTCCGACCTTCTAACGGTGATGCATTATATTTTTCTTCTAATTTTTTTTTAAAAAAAATTTAAAGACCTTTTTTGTTTTTTGTTTTTTTGGATTGGTGCGTGAATGGATGATGAATTTTTTATTTACCCTTTTGCTTGCAGCGCTTTTGCCTTGAACCAGGAGTATTGGGCACGTCTAAAATTTTGAGCTTTTCAACCCATAAAGGTTTTTCAAAGTATTATTTGTGTTTCGTTGTCTAACATAACATTGTGATATAGGGACTCTGTCTGTCAGGAACCACCAATACCTATTCATTTTGGTGACTATTCATTTTCTGTAGCTCTGATCCAAGAAAAGAAAAATGTGCATTTTAGTTTATTTATAATTCTATGAAGTTTGTAGCATTTTAGTCAAAGTAATTACATATACTGGCTTAGGAGTTTTTGCCCTTTTCTTTATGTAAGATTTTTGTTGTTGTTATTATTATTATAATATTTTTTTTGGGTTTTTCTTTGAGTTTGTGCTGATTTTAAGTTAATGATATTTTTCATATTTTATGCACTTGAAGGTAAAAGGAGGTCTAAATCAGATGCAAGTGACTCAGGTGAAGAAAACATGTCTAAGAAAGATTTGGCCCTGCAGCAAGCTATTGATCAGATCACCTCTGCTCATGGAAAGGGGTCTATCATGTGGCTTGGTCGTTCCGTGGCACCAAAAAATGTACCTGTGGTGTCTACTGGTTCTTTTGCTCTGGATATAGCACTTGGGGTTGGAGGTCTTCCAAAGGTATATTTCTCTTGTGTATTTGCCAATTACAATAATACAGTTTTATCTTCTCCTTTGAAAATATCAGTGTCTATTTCAGTTTATATGGCCATTATCTCTTGTTAATATTCTTGACAGATTGTTTTGGTTTTGATAGTGTACTCTGCAACTGCAAAATATGTTTCTGGTTATTTCATGTTGCTTGCATTTTGGTTTCCTTATGTGTTAGGGATATATGTTGAGACAGAGCAAGGAGAGAAACTATCTCATGTTTCATTATGCGACTGCTATATTCTGATACTTATAAGTAACTGCGATGTCTGTAGGGGCGTGTTGTGGAAATATTTGGTCCAGAGGCTTCTGGGAAAACAACCCTTGCTCTGCATGTGATTGCAGAAGCACAAAAGCTAGGAGGTTGTCTTTATATGCTGTTTTGAAAGTGATAATTAAAATGTCTACCGCTTTTGCTTGTATTAGATTTACAATTTACGATTACAATTTTAGCATGTTTTTGGTAAATACAACCATAACAGTAATGTAGTGGTCATTTGTCATGCAGTCACATTTTTTTTTATAATAATTTTCCCTTTCTCTTTTGTGTGGCTGAGGTAATACTTTAGATGGATGCTTTTTGATTTTTTTTAATGAATGTCTAAATCATTTTCTAACACACTCTTTTGATTAGTATTGTTTGGAAGTGGAAATTTGTGATTTTAATCCAAGCAAGAGTTCTAAGTTTATCAATCCATGCTTCATTACTATGAGCCAATTTTGATAAACTTCTGTACAAACTTTAAAATTAATCAAAATTTTCACTTAAGTTAAAATTAACTTTTGTACCTCAACTTTTTCAGAAGTTCCGTAATTAGCTTCTTTGTAAGCGTCTATAAACTTAAGAGAGCTCCGCATTCTTTCCTTTTAAAAGTCTTAATTATTATAAATTTTACTGTTAAAAAACTCCCATAAGTTAGAAGCTAATCCAAATTGGTCCTATACCAACAATTAGGTGCTTCCTGATTTTCAGTTGGATAGACAGGGTTGTATTCTACCCTGTGCCCTCCCCACTTGTCATACATTTTACTATGTATAGAAGGAAGAGGTTGTTTGTATAATTTAAGTTTTAAAGAAAATTTATCATTGGGGGCCTATGCTCCCATAAAATAATGATAACAAGAAGGCTGTATATTCTTGGTACTGTTTAACTTGTCAATAGTATCTCTGTTAATTGATTTGTATGTATCATGCAGGCTATTGCGCCTTTGTTGATGCTGAGCATGCACTGGATAAGACACTTGCAGAGTCAATTGGTGTAAATACTAAGAACTTGCTTCTCTCACAACCAGATTGTGGTGAACAAGCACTTAGCCTTGTGGATACCTTAATCAGGAGTGGTTCAGTTGATGTAATTGTTGTTGACAGTGTAAGTATGGAGCTCTGCATTTTTTGTTTTTATTAATACTTACTGTATATGTTTGTCAGTTTGTGTCCATGTACGCATGGTGTGAGAGCATTAATTTTGCTTTACATATGACTATACATGCGCCATAAATATGATTTTGCTTAAATCTAATGTTAACTATCTATTATGATTGTATTGTAACAAATAATTCTTCTGACACTTGAATGCTTCTGACATTATGTGTCAGTATGTATATAATGAAATATTCCTGATGTAAGTTTTGCACTTGGAGATCTTTGTTGCTGCCTGTATTATGCAGCAAATAATGTGTTTAATTGCAGGTTCTTGGGAGCCTGAAATATGTGTTGTGGAATTGGATGCTGTTCTGGAAATGACACATTTTTTAGCATAGACAGTCTAATTTTAGTTGTTAAAATATTTTACCTTATTTTTGCTCTTTTAACTTTGATAGGGTTTAGATTATTTCTCTGATATCGTGTTTCACTGGGTTGATGTTCTTATATAAGTTGAGTTAATATCTTAAACTTTTTTGCTATATTTCCATTTATAGGTGGCTGCTCTTGTTCCTAAAGGCGAGCTTGATGGTGAGATGGGTGATGCTCACATGGCAATGCAGGCTAGGTTGATGAGCCAGGCTCTTCGGAAATTGTGTCACTCCTTGTCACTTTCACAGTGTATATTGGTTTTTATAAACCAGGTATCAGCTACAGTTGCGTTGCTCTGTCATCAATTTTCCTATGGTCAAATTGTGAATATTTATTTATTTATATTGAGCAACTTAGCATGCATAATTTTTTTTGTCTTGGGATAGTCTGATGTGTACTAATCTTGGTGTATGATTATATTTTCTGTCCCTCTGAGCCAAAGTGCTTCACTTTCATTTAGTGGTTGAGGTTGGGCTTGGTTAGTCTAACAGCCAACATGTTTTTAGGTTCATTATTATGATTTTTCTGTTATAATTAGTATGTTTTATAACTTTTACCCATTGTTATGGTGAAATTAAACGTTTGTCCCCTTTCTAGCTTTGTTCTGCTGGTGTTCTTTCCTATTTAGTGTCATTTTGCCTAGCTACATTTTCACTCTTTCCTTTTTACCCAGCTTAAGTTGCAAGCATGAAAAATTGAGTGCATGCTTTTATGTGTGAAAAGTGTAGACTTTGGAGGTAAAAAGCTCAAACTTTATATTAATTGACTTAAAAACTTTTTACAATGAGGATATATAACATGCATTCTTTTTTGCGGATGATATCTCTGATTAAGGAATCAAGGGAAGCAATTAACTTTAACCTTGAGCTTCGGAGGTAAACTTTGGAAATAAAAGGTCTGTGTTAAGTAGGAAGCAAGACAAAGTATATGCATTACAATTTTAACAAGAGACAATAGGAATATGACTTGGAAGTAAAATTGGGAGAACATGTTATACAATCCTATGTTTAAATATCTAGGGTCTACAAAATGATGAGGGAAATTAATGAGGATATCATACTGGATACAAGTGAGATCACTATAATAGAGAAAGGCATTGAGAGTTATTTGTGATCACAAAGTATTTTCCAGATCAAAGACAAGTTCTATCGTACCATTATACATCTAGCTATACTTTATGGTAGTGAATTTTGGGCTTTAAAGGGACAAGAGAAAAAAGGAGGGAATAGTAGAAATGAGAATGCTAAGATAGGTGTGTGACGATATAAGAAAGAATAAGATATGAAATGGTTGTATACATGGGGATATTGATATGATGCCTATTGAGGAAAAATGGTAGAAAATTGGTTAAGGTGGTGTGGACACGTGCAAAGAAAGCCATTGGAAGCACTTGTGAGGAGAGTAGGTTGCATGGTTTTTAGTCTTGTGAAAAGGAGAGGAAAGACCAATAACATTGGAGGAAGTTGTTACAAGGAATCTCATGGTGAATATCTTTGAATATTTCGTCTTTAACTAGGCTGAATGACGTCATGTGATATATATACCCAATCTCACCTAGTGATTTGTTGCTTTTGTTGTTTTTTTTTTCTTCTAATAGCAAGATAATTTTATGGATATGAGAAATGTTAATAATACACTTTCTAACACATTCTTTTAATACACTCTTTAGTTAGTTGAAGTTTATCGGAAAACACAATTTGGTAGGTCTCATACCCTATTTAATAACTTTATCTTAATTTTGTAGTTTTCAATAAATTCTATCCAATAAGAATGCTAGTTTCATTGCTGGTGTAAATAGCAGACCCATTAAACTCTTAAATAAGATGGAATGTGTTGATGTACTCTTACCCTCCTGATTATCTAAATTAATTGAATGTGATACTGATCTATTTGGACTGATGTATTGGTGTGACAATGTTTTCATTTGCTAGTTCACCAAATTTTGTAAGTTTGTGGAGAGTTGGCATGCTCTGCCAGGCCTACATGATTGTGTTTGATTGGGATAGTTGTTTGATCCTAGGGAACGTTCTTGACATGCTTGGTATTATATATTACTGTTTATACTTTATATATTGTACAAGAATGTGTATATTTTCTTTTTATCCGTAACTTTTTTGAAATTACTTTAGAAAAGTGTTTATTTTTTAATTATGGGAATTCTTGTGCTTGTGCATGCTTCTCCAGGTGAGATCAAAGATTTCTACTTTTGGGGGATTTGCTGGGCCCACTGAAGTTACTTGTGGTGGTAATGCACTGAAGTTCTATGCTTCTGTGCGGCTAAATATCAAACGAATAGGGTTTATCAAGAAGGGTGAAGAGGTACAAAACATCTTAAAATTCTCCTCTTTTGTGCATCCTGCATTACTATTGCCATGCCTGCCCAAATAGTATGGTTTCAAATAAGCTCGAGTAAATTTCTGAACTCCTCCCAATGTCTTGTACTTTTATACAAGTACTTGAATGACAGTTTGATCGAAGGATTTTTATTAGGAATTTAGGATTAAGGAGCCAAGCAAAACAGTCTACTTGTTTGTTCGTTGGATGCAAGAATGTTCTAATGCTGATTCTCAAACCAGTGCTCTTCACTAGCTATCTTGGATAGGCTCCTCGCTCTCATGCTTATCTTTTATATGTGATATCTGTTTGTTCCTAATATTGCTTTGAACATATTAGTATTCCTCCTAATATTCTGCTAACAGAACACATTAGCGTCTAATTTATGGGATGAATAATTCTTTTATGGCATTTTATTATGCAGACTTTAGCAAGCCAGGTCCTTGTCAAGGTTGTGAAGAACAAGCATGCCCCTCCATTTAAAACTGCACAGTTTGAGCTTGAGTTTGGCAAGGGTATAAGTAGAGAAGCCGAGATCATAGAGTTGAGCATAAAATACAAAATTATAAGGAAGAGTGGTTCATTTTATGAATATAATGGCCAAAATTTCCATGGTAAGGATGCTCTAAAGAGGTTCTTGGCAGACACAGATGGTGTACAAGAATTAGCAACAAAGCTTAGGGAGAAGATTCTTAATGCTGATCCAGAACTGGTGCCGGAGGTACCAGTGATGATGGGAGATGTCACGGAAGAAATGGTATCGCTTGATTCCACTGATGAAGCAGCAGCTATAGTAGCATGAATTTGCAAGTAACCACAAAATATGGGGTGCTCTTGTTTCCCTGCTTCAAAATGGACCCTACTCAAGGGTTTTACAGATGAAGGTGGCTCTAAAAGTAAAACAACAGATGCCTTTGCTTCCTAGTTTGGAACAACACTTCCTTCTTGCAAGCACAAGGCACATTGCCTTTGTAAATTAAAAATTTTGGTCATTTTATGCGAGCCATGAGTCATGTGGGTCGTCTTAGTTTTGTTATTTGGAGGAACAGACACTCAAGGGGGGAATCAAGGGCTCTAAGCTGATCAATAGTTAAGTCAGTGCTGATTATTTGGAAGGATATTAATCTGCAAGTTATATAATGGTATGTGTATATGTATTCCTAACAGTAAACTTTTTGCATGCATTTATGGAACCAGGGAAGACAGATCATTTTATCTTACCAAATCAAACTTAATACGTGTTAATGATTTCAGCCATTTGCATTTTATCCTATTGTTTTGAGTTGTTGATTGCATGTGATAAATTTGAAGGGAGTCTGGTTCCATCTCATGGTGCTGTTGGTTTTACTTCTAATGATTATTTTATGATAATCTTTGATACAGTAACTAGAATTTAGATATACTTAGATAAAGAAATGTATAGCTCGGACATTCCATGTTTAGGAGTGATGTGTATAGTATATTAGTATGAGTATGACTGTATGAGTGATCGTTACCTGAAATAGCTCGAAGGGTCAGTTAAAAATTACTGAATCATGATTATATGACGTTTTAGGCAATAACACTATTGATTGAAAAAGTATTCTGCTATGTTGAAATTTGTTTATCAATGTTGATGGACCACGGCATGAGTTGGTGTGCTTCCTTATCTGTCGAGAATCATCAAATCATAATATGTTTTTGATAATCATGTTATTAATGTGAAATATTAATTGATTATACTAATGATTTGATTCTACAACTTTCTATCCTGTTTTTCTTTTATCTACTGCTCGATTTTGAGATATTTAAAATCAATTACATTCTAATCAATGAATTTTTTTAATTAACAAATTATAATTGGCAAAAATAGGCAAGTATAATTATTTGTTCAGTACGTTCTACTAACAGAAAACAAGCATGCAAATATGAAGTAATTTCATTATGGTTTTATTAAGGGTAATGATTAAAATATAAATACATGTTTAAGAAAACTGTAAAATTTAATGTTACTCATACATTTTTCACCTTGAATTTTAATAATTTATTTATTTATTAATATCTTAATTATCTTTAACAAAACTGATTTAATTGACACTAAGCAATTAGTTCAACCGATATACTGTGCTGACCGCGGATGTCAATTAGTTTTAGGTATTGAAATGACAAATTAAAAAACAATAGAGAAGTCAATTAGTTAATGAAACAAGTCACTATTTTTACTTTGGAAAGTTGAACTGGAAGTGACTGCGTAATCAAGGTGCATTTTGAAAAGTCAAGAAAGCGTCACTTGTGTATGTGTGCATCAGTTAAGCATAAAATTTTCTAGTCCAACCTAACCAACTAATGTGACATTATGACAAACATTTCTGTATGAAACTTGGATTAGTAAACATTCCCCATTACGTAATTATTTTGTAGTTTCAACATTGTTTCACCAAATGTATGGAATAATTTCCCAACTTTTGTTCAAATATTTGTTGGAATTTTGCAGTCTTACTCCTGAGGGTAGTTTTAGAAAAATCCGCAATCAGAAGGAGAAAAAAAAGCTCCGTGTTAGCACTATCGAGTTCCATTCATTTAACTTTTTTTTTTTTCCCATGTTAGGCTGAAATACAATTTCATTGTCTATAACTCTATGCGATTATTACAATAAAACTATCAAGTTCCAATTAAAAAAAAAAAAGCACACTCGGCATCAAAACTCATACAGAGATAAAGGTGTCATCAGATTTTTCTTTTCCTTTCTCAGTTACAGATTCAGTCAAATAATTCTTACATAGCAATGAACATTTTTCTCTAGTAATAAGCAGAAAATAGATTTATTTTTTCAAACCATTTGTCAATAAGACCAAAATCCAGATATCCCACGCTATGGGGGAAAACACATTATCGGCATTACATGGCATTAGATTCGAATGAATCACAAATCAGATCCAGATTTTTCCTCTTTAGGAGGTGCAAATTGCCTGCTGAGACGGGAACGTGTCCAGGGATCAAGGGGTGCTCTCTGTGGTGGTTGAGGAGTTGGTGGCTTTGACTGCCTAAGCTCATTCTCTCTGTCAATAAACCTGATCCAAAGCATATAATTATTTTTACAAAAAGTTTCAATTTAAACCTCATTTTAAGTAACCTTGAAGATTTGAAGGATTAAACTATAACAACATAGCACAATATATTAGGCAGACATGCAACATCAAGAACAATGAGGAAACAATCACTTTAGTGAAATCAAGTGGGGTTACCCAAATAACAGAACCTATCAAAAAGTAGCAATGTACTCACTCAATATAGGCCATTGGTGCAGCATCACCAACTCGAATACGGGTTCGAAGCAATCTGGTGTATCCACCAGCTCTATCCCTGCACAACATAATGTCTGGTCAGTGTACAACTTACTGCCATGAACCAGCAACCAAAATGATATCAGGTTTATTACTTACTTGTACCGATAAGCCAGTTCTGTAAACAGCTTGTGAAGGACATCATCTCCTCGCACAAAACTAGCAGCACGTCTTGCAGCACATTGGGATCCCTATACCAATTTATAATGTAAACTATATGCCAATCCCAGCAATCAAGCTAAATGGAAAATTTATCCTTCCAAGAAGTTCATTCTCAAGGCAAGGGTGAAATTTTTTTGCGCACATTTATCTGTTTCTACCAGCAGTTTAGTAAATAGAATATGGGGATACGGAAAAAAACAGCCATGTAGAAAGTAAACATGCTGGTAGCAAGTTTCATGCAAATAGGGGTGGCAAAGTAGGTCAATCCACCTAAAGCGAGACAGTTTTACCCACCAAAGAAGTAGAGCGGAGCGAGTTAGCCCAGTAAAGAAAATGGGTTGAAATTAACGCGTTGACGGATTGATCCACTTTAGTGAGTTGGTGGTTTTAAAATTGTGGGTTGACAAATTAACCCACCTTCAACCCACCCAATTTTTTTTAAAAAAAATCTCAATTAAAATATTTCAATATACATTATCACATCAACCTATGATAAATTTATTATTTGTAAAATCAATTAGAGGTGCTATATTTTTCATGAAAAGGGGCAAAGTAATATATATTTTTATTAAAAAAAGATTCTATACATAAAAATGTACTAGTAAAAAATATGATTAAAACAATATACTTCTATAGCATATAAAATGAGAATAATTACCTAGAAGAGAAGTTAAACTATAAAATACAAACATTGATCCAACATAAATCTACTATAAATTTATCTTTTAACAACATAAAATACAAAAAAGTGGGTTGGCGGATTAAATCCGCTGGGTTGAGTGGGTTTATTTGTCCAACCCAACCCACTAAAAATAGGCGGGTTGACATACTGGATTCAACCCATATTGTCATCCCTACATGCAAATTCATTCATTATACAAGGACAAGTTTATTATACAAAGTTTCACAAAATCAAATCTACACGAAACAAATGAGGACCCCCTCCACCTCCAAAAACTTGCCATATGCTCTGATTGAGGTGAAAAAAACTATAAAATACTGATTTGAAGGGGGAAAAGGAGACGCAAGTGCCAAAAGGGGAAAATAAACTAAGATAAACCTAGCTTGCGCTAAAAATTTGAAGCCGGTGGGCTCATGCAGATAAGTAATTTCTCCTCTGTAGCAGCAAATAAATAGTTGCTGTAGCAATAGAAGCCATTTACCACAGCACAACAATTAGCAACCTTCAATGCCACCAAAGGCAAAACTAATATTAAAATTTCTATTTTGCCCCTACAAATCGTATACTCTAGCTCCATCCATGTATATCTTGAAATTTGGATGGCAAAAGGACCAAAACCCACCAAGCCATTCCCCCACAATGGCAAGTGCCAACCATACTAGCACTTCATTAGTTGCCACTAACAAATACAGAGCTTCAATAAGCTTCGAAGGTTTAAATATGTCTAGTCCCTCAAATTAAGGCTAAATTTATTCTTAATTCTTCAAATTTTAAATTAATCTTCAATTTTCAAAAAATCTTATTTTAGTCTCGCTGGCCACTTGTAGCATAACTGACAATGAGTGACAACAGATTAAGACCGTTATTTAGTATCAGCTAGGTTTAATACGATGTTTTCACCCGCAAATTATGTTTTCACCAATTATGGCCTCATCACTATTCCATAAGGGATTTTGAACAAAAAACTTATAGAGCAAACAAATTGAATCCAACACGAATTACATAAGAATCATAAATAAACGCATACAGACCTCTTTTCCAAGCTGCACCATATTATCCGCAAGTCTTCTGATCTCTTTGGCCTGCGACCAAATTACAAAATGTATGTTATCATTATGCAAAATAAAATCCGAAATTGGCAGAGACTTAAACGGCGTCGCTTTGATCGGTACCTTGGCCACAGTAGTTTCGATGCGCTCGTGCTTCACCAATTGCGAGACCATGGTTCTGAAGAAATGGGAACCAACGATTGATTGAACATGTTTGTTTGCATTGCAAAGAAATGAAAAAAAGAATGAATTGAAAGCGTTAAGTGACCTGAGCATGGACATTCGGTGAGCGGTGGGTCGACCCAGTTTCCTGAACTTCGTCATTTTGGCGGAAACGCAGAAACCCTAGCGAGCTTCCTTTCTCCCGCTGCACTCTCTGCACACCGGCGCACAAACAAGTGTGAAGTGAAATGTTTTGAAGTGAGAGAAAGTGCATAACTCTTTCTCATTCTAATTTCAATTTTATTAAGCTTAAATTTTGTTTTTTTAATCATTTAATTCGATTCTTTTAGTTTATTTTTTAAAAATGTATTTTTCATTTTTTAAATTAAAAATTTGTAAGAAAATTATTATTTTCATCTCTCTCAATGTTTTAGTGACTAAAACAATATTTATTTTTTGAAAGTCTGACTAAAATAATAAATTTTAAATTTAAGTGACTAGAATAATGTTTTTTTTTTAATTTTATATTTTGACTAAAAGAATAAATTTTGAATTTGGAGGACCAAAATATATACACCCTATTGAAAGACTAAAAACATTATTAAATAAAAAATTTAATTATATATTATATATTTTGTATCCTTAATTTCCCTTTTACATAGTACTTAAAAAAAAATAACAATAATACAAAAATAGAAAATAATATATCTAATGATATTAAGATATTTCAAATATCTTAAATATATATCATATTTAGAACACTCCCATGTCTTATCATATTGGAAATGAATATCAATAATTCTCAACTCTTGGAATCTAGTAATGAGAAGTTCCTTTGTGAAGATATCTTCTAAGTCTTATATACACAAGATGTAACTATAAGGTCACTAACCATCTTTTCTTTAATGAAGTGCCCAATAATTTGTATATGTTTCCTTCTATATGTTGATTTAAGTGATGAACAATGTTGATAGTCAAATTATAATCATAAAACATCTTCACAATGCCCTCATATTTAACTTTGAGGTCATTAAGAATAATTTTATCCATAATCCTTTACATATGTCATTGCCATAACTCAAAACTCAATTTTTGCACAAGATCAAACAACTACATTTTGTTTCTTGTTTTTCCATTTTACCATATTCCTACCTAGAAACATGTAACAATCGAAAGTAGATTGATTGACCCTACATAGCTAGCATTGATGTATATCTTCATGAACAATGGACCTTCTTGTCTAAACAATAAATCTATTCTCTATACTTGTTTTCAGATAATAGAAAATCCTCTCAACTACTTGAATGTGTCTATGATAGGATTATACATAAATTGGTTGGAAACACTAATAGCATATGCAATATTAGACCTAATATGAGATTGATATATCAATTTCCCTACGAACTATAGTATTGAGACTTTTCTAATGGTGGACTTTCATTACTTCTAATTTAGTGATTTTGTTTAATGGGTACCTTTGTAGTCTTGCATCCCATCTTTTAGGGTGATGTAACATCCCTCAAATTTAGCATCTGAGTGACTTCACTCCACAACACTTCACATAGTAACATTTCACAAAATTTCTTGTTGATTAGAATCCTTCATTGGTCAGAACCCTTTGTAGGTTGCCATTTTTAAGATGCCTAGACGCCTTTAGGATCAAAGATTGTCTCTACAAATCTACATAAGACTTTTTAGCGTACTTTATTTTCACTCGCACACTATTTGGAAAACTTCCCAGAAGTAGTTAATATTAATTTATATCTCTATGGACAATGAACCTTCTCATCTAAACAATAAATCTATTCTTTAGACTTGCTTTCAACTAATGAAGAATTCTCTCAACTACTTGAATGTGTCTGTCATGGGGTCATAAATTGATTGGCAACACTAATAACATATGTAATATTAGACCTAATATAAGATTGATATATATTAGTTTCCCTACCAACTATGGTATTAAGACTTTTCTACAAGTGGATTTTCATCACTTCTAATCTAGTGATTTTATTCAATGGGCACCTCTAGTCTTGCATCCTAGTTTTTAGGGGTGATTGTAACACCCATCAAATTTGATGTCTCAACGACTCCAGCTCATAGTACTTGACACGGTAACATTTCACACAATCTCTCGTTGGTCAGAATCTTTAATCAATTAGAATCCTTTTTAGGTAGCTCTTTTTGAGATGTCTGACCACTTTTAGGATCAACGACTATCCTCATAAACCAACACAAGATTTTTTAGCATGCTTTGTCCTCACTTGCACACTTTTTGGGAAACTTCATGAAAGGTCACTTATCCCTAAATCATTCCAAGTCAAGCACGCTTAATTGTGAAAAAATTATGTGATGATCTATCAAAAAATAGATGCATTTTATTGATATATGTAGTATAAATTAATTATTTTAAGTCATCCTAAACTATACAATCTCACACTTTTACAAATCTTTGAATCCCTTTCATTCTAGTATGTTTAGACTGTTACAGTGATCATTGATTTAGATCAATTTGACGAACTCGATGATTTGAACCAATTAAATTAATTTGGATTGGATTCAAACCAAACCAATTTAATTTTGATATCGATTAGTTTAAGTATTAGATTCACATTAAAACTTGAATCGACTTGAACCGAACCATTTGTTATGTATTATTAACTTTTATTATCTAACATAGTAAATATGTGATTTTGTGTTCTTGGACAACTACATGTATGTTGATAGATATTGTTAAGTCAAAAGAAAACCCCCCTTTTAATGTCTATATTTTCTCCACAAATATGACTTTTATTAGACAATTTGGTGTACGTTAAACACTTTGGCTTGTGCTAGACATTTTTGTTGATTAATCACATTCTATTATTATAGATTGAGTAGTATGATTTAATAAATTATTTATGTTTCATTTTTCATAATTTATGTTACTATTTAATTAGTGTAAGTCCATTACAATTAAATAAATATGCAACTTACACTTATTTTATGACAACATTATTTGTCAATTTTGAGACAAAATCGAGCTTATTTTTAATTTTTCAAAATAGTTTTTTATTTTTATTTTTCATAGAAGCATCCCATTACATTCATCAACAACAAGTTATGTACAAAGAAGCAAACAACCTATGTGTATGTTCAGGAAATGTTTGTTGCAACACAAGAGGTTTAAAAGTTGCGTTAGTACCTTATAACATGACAATATTTTCATATCATCACTAAACCAAAATGGCCTACAAAGTTTATTTACCCAAGCGGTCCACATACCATAACAATAGAAGTAGGTAGCCAAGCTTTTTGGTTTCTATTTTGACATCTTTTACAAGCTTCACAAACACAACATTGCAATTAATATCGTTTCTCGGCATAAACCAAACAACTCCATTTTTTTGAGCCTTTCTTCTCCCATTCCCACCTCCATCATAGAAGGACAAACTTATTATGTTGATACACCCACATGACATAAGCTCAAAACCAAGTTACTTTTAGATCCCAAATCAAAGTAACACTTTACTTTTCGTAATGGTCTTGTAAACCTCTTTTTTCTTGACATTCCTAATCTTCACTATAATCTCCTTCATGAGTTCCATAATACTCCAATGTCAGAACATTCTAGGTTGAAACTAACATTTATTTTTTAGCCACTTCCTTTTGTTGGCTTGGTCTCTATGTTAAAGCCAAACAATTCATATGTAGTTACTCTAGTAGCCAACATAGCAAATACCTTCCAAAGAAAAAAGACAGGGTTACTTTAACATCTTAAAATTCCAAATTAAGCATGGGAAAAAATAACCATGATTTTTATCACTAACTTATCTAGTTCCTTTGACCATACAACTTTTGGGTAATATGTGACAAACTAGCTAAATATGCCCATTTTTTAGCTCTCCCAGCCAAGTTTTCTAAACCACAAGTTGCTCAATGCTTTGTTTTTGAGATTTGAAAGCTGAACAAGCCCCCCAAAATCAATAGTCTATGATTGAGACCCTATTTTTGTTATCACTTTTTGGAAAGTGCTTTTCTACACTCAATGAAAAACCCTTATTTTTAGACTTGTGTACCATCCTCAAACAAATGATCAGGTTATGGTCCTCAATCGAATCCTCGAGGCCTACCTTTGGTGCTTTATGAGTAATTTTCTTCACTCCTAATATAAATATATCCATTTGGCCAAATACTAAGGCAACACTTTGCATCATAGTAGTATTGGAACTTTCCTATTTCACATTCTTTTCAGTCACTCTTTGTCAAGAACAATTGATTATCTTCCCATTTCCACCATAGTTACTATGGTCACCACTATTTTGGCATAACATTAAGGAATACTTTAGTGACTTAAACAAAATCTAACCAAAACAAGCAAATGATGGAGTCTTAAGCAAATCAAGGAAGAAAAGACTTTACCTTAAGGAAAAGGATTGGGTCTTACCAGAACTCCAACTTTACATGTAATCATCACTCTACTATCACACCTCAATAAGATTACAAATTGCTTTTATGGACCTTTCCAGGTTCGTTGTCACATTGGTACCAATATTGACGAACTCACCTTGCTAGCATTCAGTTGCATCCATCCCATTTTTCATGTCTTTTTGCTTTGTCTTTACCATGGCACCACCCCTATCAACCTCTTCCAAGGAATCTCTTAACTCTCTCTTTAGAAACACCATGCGACACATGTACTCTTGATGTCGACCAAAGTCCTCAAACATAATTCAACACATTTGACCCAACTAAACACTTAACTCCCAACCAAGCCATTATCACACTCTCTCGTCTACCCATTCAAACCCCTCCGCATAATGCCCATCATATGGCCACTACTATATTTTCTTTGGCACCTACTATATTAGATGTGCCTTTAACCAATATACCCCACTTGCCATCAATAATGATCCCAATTACCCAACCACACTTGCTAATAACCTTTTCATCTCACTTACAAAAACATAAAACGATCTCATCTATCCATTTCAACCTTGATTTGTGCCTCCCCTCACCTTCATCCAATGACTTTGAGGATAAGGTCATTATTGCATCACCTGAAAATGGTAGTGAACTCACTAGCTCAATGAACCAATCATTAAGACACAAACACATGCCTCAACAACCCACTTGGATGAAAGACTATATGTGATGGTCCAACATTGTGGTTGAAGTCTCTTTAGGCATTCTAATTCAATAAGGGTGTTTATACCTGCAAGTATAGGGAATGGATTTTATACCTGTTGTTCTAGTCTTTATATTAAGAATTTTAAGTGTATAGTTTCCCTTACTTATG